GGCTCCTCGTCGCGGATTATATCGAGTAGGGTCCGACCCGAGATTGTGGGGGGAAGTGTTGGCGGTGGAGGGGGGTGTTTGGCGGCTGCAGGGGCCAGCAACAAATCGTCTAGGCTCAATCCGGCTAAGTCTCTCCCGTTGCTACTTGCTGACATCTGATCGAGAAGCGTTAGCCTCCGGCGACCTTCCATTTCATAAAATCCACACAAAAATAAAAATTAACAAAAATAAAAATAAATAAAAAAAATTCTATTGGGGGAAGGAGGAAATCAAGGGATCGGATTCGGAAGCGTCTGTTGGTTTTGCTTGGTTGCCGCGTTCTGATGTTTCTTGGGAACTGTAACTGAACCAGCAATGGGGATCTATCATTCTTTAAGACTGATTTATTTTCTTTCAGTTGACTAATATACTCGTTTTCTGAGGGCATCTAAGCAAAACAACACAAGAAAACGTACAATTTTGATGTTTTTCAATTACGAAATACGTACTTCATGCATCAATTACCGTATCCACTTAAGAACTAGAATTTTTATGCGTATACTAAATTAAGTACATTGCGCGCTACTACTCAACGAGTGTGCATAATAAATATATAATGTGATTATGTTGACTCGTCTATCGTTTTGTGATTAATTAACGTATGTTGATCGACACTGCATTTCACAGTAAGTCAGTAACCCATTAATTACCTAAAATTCTCTAATGCTAGATGAGATATGCACAATTAACATAGAATGTTGATGTATCGATTAATTCGCTTCTTTCTTCAATTCATCAGCCTATTTGTGCCAGTCAATCTGAAGTCTTGTGTCGATCGACAGGCATCACATTACACATTGTTATGCAACTTTTATTATGCATGGGAGAAAACTTGCGTGTACAAGTCTGAATTTCGGACGTTTGAGTTTGCAATTATGCGAAATTTTGATAATGTTAGGGGAAAAGATGAAAATGGGGAGTTGCATGGGATACCTTACGTCCCGTGACCGTTGCTTCTGGTGGCACCGTCAGATACGATGGCTCCGCCAGCTTTCAATTATTTTAAGTGTTGTTTTATCTCTCTCTCTCTCTCTCTGTGCACAAAGGAAGAAAAAGAAAGCTGAGATTTACCTGAGCCCGAGAGAGACAAAGAAACATTCATATGATGATGGAAGCAAAAGAATAGTAATTTAGATAAAAGATGAGAGAGAGAGAGAGAGAGAGAGAGAGAGAGAGAGGAGAGTTGACGCACCAAAAGGCAAAAGCTAGGCGATGGATGCAAGGGCAAATTGGCGATGGTGGTGGGTCTCTGCGTGTTTGTTTTTTGGTTTGCTTGGTTTCCTTTTTTTAAGCATAATTAGTAATTAGTTGAGTGGATGATTGATTGATTGATTGTGGTGGTTGGTTAATCTCTCAGTTTTTTTGTTTGGTTTTGTAATCTTCCGACTTTAGCTCTCGAAATGTAGGATGGAAAGCGAAGGATGGTTTCTTGGGGGGACTTGGACAATGGGAGCGAGTCTTATGGAAGGGAAGGCACGAACTAGCGTCCCTCTACTTCCCCTTGTTTGTGGTAAGTAGAGCATTGTCTCAATTTTTTTCATGTAAGCATAGTCGGAAAGAAATGCCAGGGCTATACACCACTTATCAACATGAGAAGCATATATACAAGCGTGAGCTAATCTAATTAATTCGTGTTTGTGAGATTTAGAAAGCTAGAATAGTCGTCATTGGATAATGACTTCCCACACATAAAAATATTAAAAACTATTCCAAACTAAGAGATGTTCCTTTTTTTATAACAAATAGAAATAATAAAAAAAATCACTAATAATACATTAGTTTTGAAGGTTTTCTGGTGGGAAATTTGTTCCAAAGGTGAGTGGTTGAAGTTGTTAAGTTGTTATGAAGTTGCAAACAAAGTACAGAACATGCAGGTTTTTGGTAGCTTAATATTGGTTCAACATGCCCATCATTTACTATTCTTTTTTAATTTCGGGTGGCAACAATGCATCAGAGTATGTCGTACTTCGATATTTAGAATTGTATGATCAAACATTGAATTTGAACAGTTTTAAGTGCCATAATATGCACTAATATTGGATCAAATGACGCTTTAAATATCGGAGTACGTCACAATGATCTGATAGACTTGTCAGAGATGTTCATTTAATCTAGGTGTGGCATTGTAGGTTCTCTTTGTAATTGATGACTTCACATGTCTTGCCTTTGTTTCTTTAAATACTCTGTCACTATCCCAACAAAGAAAGTAACAGAGGAGGTGGCCTACAGACGTTCTTTTTGTTTAGGGTTTTACACGCATCTATAACATGAAAGTGGTGCATTTTTATGTGTTTTAATTTACTTAAATGATATTGCGTGATTGATTTAGAATGTCCACCATTATATCGGCACAATTGTATGTAATTGCTTCTCATTTAGAGGAAGAGGAGAGAGTGACTAATATGTAGTAATTCAAAAATTTGACGAAACTGTACTCTTTCTCCTCCAACAAATAGTTGTAGCACCTAGCCAATGATCAGCAGAAAGAGAGCTTCTCGAATGGACTAATGAAACATGCTAGTATTTAGGTTAGTGATATTTTTTCTTCGAATTTGAAAAATATCTCAAATTCAGATTTCTGGAATCAACTAACGTACATGTTCAAAATAGGTTCAAAATATCCGCGTGATTGTTTTATGAAAATCATTTTGATTATGGGCTTAGAATGTCGTGTCTTCCTAGGTCATTTTAAGTAGCCCAATTACTTTTCTTCAGAAGAACAATTAAAGACAAAACTTGATATAAGTCTAAATTTTTTAGTTAATATTAGAAATAGTTTATTAACATGTATCACAAATTAATGTGTTTTGCATGTAGGTATATTATATTTTTGTACTTTTTAGTTAGATTTCATATCTCGTTTGTAGGTATTTTATACATTCATATATTTTTTTACTTGAGTTGAGTTAGGGTGATATGTTTTGTAACATCTCACATCGCCCAGGGGAGTGGATCCTGTAAGCCTTATATGTATATTCTCATCTCTTCCTAGCACGAAGCCTTTTGGGAGCTCAATGGCTTCGTCTTCCATCGAAACTCCAAAGTTAAGTGAATTCGCGCAAGAGCAATCCCATGATGGATGACCTACTGGGAAGTTCTCGTGTGAGTTTCCAGAAACAAAACTGTGAAGGCGTGGTCGGGGCCCAAAGTGGACAATATCGTGCTATGGTGGAGTCGAGCCCGGGATGTGGTGGGGGTCCGGGTCAGGATGTGACAATTTGGTATCAAAGCCAATCTCTGGCTGAAAGTGTGCCAACGAGGAAGTTGGGCCCCTAAGGGGGCTGGATTGTAACATCCCACATCGCTCAAGGGAGTGGATCATGTAAGCCTTATATGTATATTCTCATCTCTACCTAGCACGAGACCTTTTGGGAACTCACTGGTTTCGGGTTCCATCTGAAATTCGAAGTTAAGTGAGTTTGCGCGAGAGTAATCCCATGATGGATGACCCATTAGGAAGTTCTCGTGTGAGTTCCCAGAAACAAAACCTTGAGGGCGTGGTCGAAGCCCAAAGCGGACAATATTGTGCTACGGTAGAGTTGAGCCCAGGATGTGGTGGTGGCTCGAGCCGGGATGTGACATGTTTTGCATATGGATTTACGTTAGTTCATTAGTTTTTTGTTAGAAGATATTAAATATATTTATTGGAATTAGAAGATGCATGAAATCAACAACAACAACAACAACAAAACCTTTTCCCACTAAGTGGGGTCGGCTATATGAATCATAGCCATTGCGCTCAGTTTTGTGTCATGTCCTCCGTTAGATCCAAGTACTCTTAAGTCTTTTCTTAAGGTCTCTTCCAAAGTTTTCCTAGGTCTTCCTCTATCCATTCGGCCCTGAACCTCTGTCCCGTAGTCACATCTTCGAACCGGAGCGTCAGTAGGCCTTCTTTGCACATGTCCAAACCACCGTAACCGATTTTCTCTCTTCTTTCCTTCAATTTCGGCTACTCCTACTTTACCTCGGATATCCTCATTCCTAATCTTATCCTTTCTCGTGTGCCCACACATCCAACGAAGCATCATCATCTCCATTACACCTACGTGTTGATGCTTCACCGCCAAACATTTTGTGCCATACAGCATCGCTGGCCTTATTGCCGTCCTATAAAATTTTCCCTTGAGCTTCAGTGGCCTACGACGGTCACACAACACGCCGGATGCACTCTTCCACTTCATCCATCCAACTTGTATTCTATGGGTGAGATCTCCATCAAATTATCCATTCTTTTGCAAGATAGATCCTAGGTAGCAAAAACGGTCGCTCTTTGGTATTTCCTAATCTCCGATCCTCACCCCTAACTCATTTTGGCCTCCGTTTGCACTGAACTTGCACTCCATATATTCTGTCTTTGATCGGCTTAGGCGAAGACCTTTAGATTCCAACACTTCTCTCCAAAGGTTAAGCTTCGCGTTTACCCATTCCTGCGTTTCATCTATCAACACTATATCGTTTGCGAATTCATTGTCATAAGGATTCGACGTAACTGTGGAGTGTCGGCTGTCGACTACCTGACGCCCTCCCCCTCCTCCTTTATCCGGGCTTGGGACCGGCAATGTAAGATAAACTTACACGGGCGGAGTTAGAAGATGCATGAAATCAAAAGATATTAATTTATTTCTAATATTTTTAAAATATATAAAACGAAAATACAAGAAATAAGAGTGGAGAAAATATAATAATGGACTTATGGCTAGTTTGGTATTATTATATTTTTTTAATTGCTTCTATTGTGTTGTGAGAATAAATAATTGTAAATAAAGTTGTTAAGTGTTTGATAATACACTTACCATTTACCCATTTCTTCTGTTTTTCAACTATCATCGACATTAATTTAAAAAAAAAAATATTTTTGTTTTACCAAACACTGTTGTTTGGTAATTAATTAAGGGACACATTAAAGCAAATATTGCCGCATACAACTTGCAAAAAAAATAATTAAAAACAGATAATGCCAGATAAGCACACAACGAAAAAATATTTTATATGTGCGAAAATAAAGCGCGGCTTCTCGAGACTTCCATAGATTCTTTGGTTCCCAGCATCTCCCCCTTTTTAGTCACCACCTCTCCTCCGGCCCCAAAACCCAGTACCATCAACTTCTTCTTCTTTAGCGTCTCCGCGTTTTCTCTACGAGCTCAGAAATCGATCAGGTAATTTCAATTTTCCCTCTGTTTTTTTAATAATATTTTTCTCGTTCAGGAATTTGGGATTTTGGTTCGATGAAATCGTAATTGATTTTTAATTGGTTGTTGAATTTCAGGGGTTTTTGTTGTATTTGTGATCTGTTTGGCTGTTTCAGCTTCAGTCACACAATTCAATAATGTCCCATATCCTTTGCAATCGGATCTGATTATTCTTCCTCCGTTATTTCTTTCCAAATCTTTTAATTTTTACTTGTTTGGCTTTCGGGAAACGCCGAGAAAATCACGAAAGATTCGATCTTTTTTGTTCCTGATCTATGAATTCTTGTTGTGTTGGGCGTTTTCTCGGAAACCAAACGGATTGTAAATAGAGAATTGTTTTGTTTGTGATGCTTTAAGTGTTTATTTGTTTGCCTTTACTGAAGCGAACGCGGAAACCAGAGGGATCGAGACCGCGAAAGGGCTCAGGCCAGGTCCGGCGGCAATAAATCCAAGCCCAAAAACGACGGATTAACCCCCGAACAACGCCGCGAAAGGTCCTTTTCTTTGAATTTCATGCTTTTCAAGCTCAAAACTTGCCTGTGATTCAATTCTGAAATTGGGATTTTGTTTGCAATTCAATTTTGAATTGGGATTGTGTTGGTGATTCAATTCTGAATTTGGATTTCGTCTGTGAATCAATTGTGAATTGGATTGTGTTTGTGTTTCAATTCTGAATTGGGATTTCGTTTGTGAATCAACTCTGAATTGGGATTCTGTTTGTTTTCGGTTTAGGAACGCAAAAGCGCTGCAGGAGAAGGCGAAGAAGAAGGCAGCGGCCGAGCAGGCGGGAAGGGGATCATATGATTCGGTTGGTGAAACTCAAAGTGCGATCCGATGGAATGCATATGTAGAAGGATTATAGGCCCATAGTACTTATATGACTAGCCAAAATGGACGTTATATGTGTGATTGTTGGTGCTTGTTAAATATGTTTATTACTATGATGTGGATAGGCAATGCTCGGAAGTGGTAGTTTTCGTTTTGCTGTTGGGCATGATGCCCGGAATCTTATACCTAAGGAGCACCAAGAAGATATCCTGGAAGGTTCTCAGTATTGTTTGAACTGTCGAGACTCTCATTAGTCTACTTCTGGTATTTGCAACCTATCTTTCTCGTTGGACATATATGAGAGCTATACAAATACTTTAGAGAATCCCAATGGCCGTTCGATTGATATCTGAAGTATAATTGTATTATTTTAGCCATCTCATGGCCGAAAGCTCTCTCTTATAACCCTTTCATTTCCTTCATGAGGATATTGCATTTCTTCTCCTCTAATCGCTGAAATATTTAATTATGCTAGTCCAGAAAACAATGAATAGGTTAGATCGTTTCCATTGGAGCAGCTCAATGAAGGACATGAAATGAGTGTTCTTCCTAGGGAGCTTGAGTAGTCTAGGAAGCACTCGTACACTTACTCTTTTATTCGTCGCATACGGACAGGGAAGAATGTGTTCTAGCTTTGTATTAGTGAAGATAAAAAGCATAACACCCAGACAGAATATACCTCCGGTGGACACACTCCCCGGGGATCGTTCTATTTAGTGACTGAGAATTCTCCTTCATGAATCCTGAAAAAATGACTGGATAGATGCAGGCAACTCTTGAGAGCTTAGTACGGACAACAACATAAATTCAGTGCTCGACCTGCCCATTCATCTCAAGATCATTCCCACATATTGAAAACGACTTCGACATGGCCAATGTTGGATATGCCGCGTGAGAACTGAGAACAAGATTATTTTTGTATAGGTCTCTCTGCCTGACGCAGCGTCTTAAGCGCGAGCGACGAAGCTCATCAATACTTCATAACCTCCGCAAATTGTAGATTAAAGAGAGACGGTGCCAAAGCTTAATGTGAGTGCCATGAAGTGAACGCTGAGCACTAAGCCAATAAGCATGTGAGGTGCATCCAATTATCTCGTGGGTTTCCGAACATTCTACCATTCGATTTAATGCAGAGGAGAAAAATGAGCATTTACTCTTCCGATTAAGATATGGATAAAGAGTATAGAGATGGAAAAAATAGATATTTATTTGGTCTAGGTTCTGGAAAAAGGGCGATATATCCCAAGAGAACATTCTTATGGAATGTTTAGATGGAGATGCTTTCGAGTGCATATATCTAAGCCTGCTATAAATATTGTTATGACTGGAGCAAAACCGCAGCCCTAGCATTCGTGACGACCAATACTCGGGACCACGAAACTTTCCACTATATGAACTGATGATTTTCAATCAAGGCTCATCCTTAAGTCCTTACCTTTTTTGCGTTTGGTAATGGATGAGTAACAAATATCAAAAGAATGAGTCACACTTCCTTGTAATGCGTTTCGAAGAACACGAAGATATAAGTGAATAAAAGAATAAACTATAATAAGAAAACAAGATCAAAATAAAGAAAAATACCAATAATTGAGAAGAAATAAGAGAGATATAGATAAGATCAATATTAAAAATAACAATAATTACCATTGTAAAACACGCAAATAGAGAGGTACTAGGGGGAATCACTAGGATGCATGCTTAAGGTTCCCACATAAGTCAATATTGAGTGTCAAGAGGGCCTTCAAGAGTAGAAACGAAGAGAACTGAGCTAGGAGGAGAATGGTTTGTATGATGCCGGAGATCAGAAGAAATAGATAAAGCGCACGCAGACGATCGTATTAATACAAGCGCAACCGTTTCGCGTATACCTTACGGATCTAATGCAGATGGCAACTAAGAGCAAATCGTAGGAGCATCGCAAAATACAGCACATAGACAACCAGATTCCCTAAGAACCCATGCGTTAGGAATACAAATGAGCTGAGGAGCATCGAAGGCACACGTCAGTACGGAGCAACGGTCACAGAACCGTCGTTCGTTTGGACCGCCGATTGCCCACTGACCTCCTAACGCGTCGAGAAGAGAGTTCTATCATAGCGGACCAGCGGTCTTTGACGGCAATTTTTCAGGCCACGACCGGATCTGGTGATGCCTAGTAATGCAGCACGAATGTGGGCGGGTCGAAAACGGTCAAACAACAACATCACGGACTCATAAGAGTGCGAGTAGTACAACTTCCCATGTATTGTATATTGTCGTAGACAGCTAATCGCAGATCTATCAGATTCAGCTGCGAACGCTCTAAGAGCGCGCGACATCAGAATTGCACTGAGACAAGGATGAGACAGACACAGTTCAGGCAATGAGGATATCAGCGGGACGGTTCGATCGGTATGTATCACGATAGGAGTGAGCATAAACGCCGCACGAAAATTGAGAAGGAAAGATGAAGCAAGAGATACAAAGATTCCGGTCGAGTCCAGCGGAGGATGTATCACAATCGGACAACAATGTGCAAAAGAAGGCGAACAGCGGATACCATATCGCAACTATCGACGCTAGATTTCAGAGACCGATGCGTATCGAGTAATGCCGAGGAACCGAGAAGAGTTCAGAAAATCTCCCTCATTCGGGCCGCTGCAAGCAGAGATAAAAAATTTGTTTCGAAGGCCAGTAATGTGGAGGACCCTAGTGAGCAGCCAAGAACAATGTCAAGGAAAACGAGTAATCTTCTCCAAAAACAGGTACTGTTATGAGCCAGTACTTGATCACGAAAACCATCGGACACAGATCGAGCCACAATGGCGTTCTACAACTTCATATAGTCGAATCCCCACTCCAGTGCAACGGCGATTTCTTCACAGTCTAAGACACAAACGCTTCGAGAGTAAAGGAGTTTCGCATCACGTACACATTGGGGATAACACCTCTATCATTTCGCCTCGGGGAAATACCACCTTATGCACGCCTGAAAACCATTAGCGAGATCGTGCCGTACTTTCCATAAAGAAGCATATCCTCTATCTATGCAACGTATTCATTGTCTATCAAAAAACATCTAAAACACTGTACAAAGGAGTATTATCAAAGACAGCTACCTTAGCGAAGAAGTCGACTCTGGTGTGATATCACCTAAACACCATTGATACGGTTGAAGAAACAAATTAAGGTTACACAAACAGAACACCGTGATATAGATTATTGAATTACCCACGGAATAAGTGGCGATAACACAGGCACAACTAGTTGTACAAAAATAATACTATTGAACCGTAGCAAAAGACCTCAAATTAAAGCAGCGACATAGTAGCGGCAGTTCGGGTCTCACTTACAAGGTAATGAAGCGTTAGGAGAGATCGAACGCCTCATATTCCAGCAAGTGTGACGGCGATTATCGAAGTACTCGCCACGAGAAAAGAGTATGCATTTTATTGGCCTCATGAGGTCAGCGGGCGTTCATCATTTGGAACTACTTACGAGTCAGCCACCGTCAACTTGAAGTCTTCCAAGTACTGACGGATCGCATAGTGAACCTCTTCTTCTAGAGGACCGTGGCATTACAGGCTGCACGAAATCAAAGATGCACATCATCGGAGCCGCGTTGCCACTTAACCGCAGATTCTGGACGCCTACCTGACCCACAGGCGACGATTCCGAGGTCACAGCCCTGCAACGCAATGAACTTAGAAGGCAAGAACAGAATGCCCGCTTCTGTAAAAAGACACAACCTGCCAACAAGAGGAGGCCAAAGTCAAGACTATTGAGAAATTGCGAAAGGATGATAGGTTCACCACACCCGATAGGGACACGATCAGATTTGTCACACCACAGGTATCATTTAGGTGTCCAGAACTCTCCTCTCATGTTTTTAGCATTAGTCATGTGCGTCGAGCCGGGTTACAAGTCAACAAGGCAAGTTAACCTATTTGAGACTAGCGACACTGTTATGATATTCTTTTAGGCTGAGGATGCATCTATGCTTACGACGACCCCGATGCATGACTTCTCACCTCTCGTTTTCAGAATCAATCATCGTATGCTGTAAGCCCGCCAAATGGAGGACATTCAACCACTTGAAGCGAGACGTTCGGCGTAGGAGCAAATATTAGCTGGTGCTTGCGAGCATATTCACGCACGCCTCCACTTAGAACGCTGAGCACACTAGGCATCGAGGCAACTATCAGAGATGAGCCAGGGCTGTACAATGGTATCTCCTACCTCTGTGAACATTCCGTAGACTACACAGATCCCAGTTTGGAAAGCAGCCAACTTTCTGCGATCATATCTCTTCGAGGAAGTTGAAACCACGTAATCCTGTAGCCACTCGCCTGGGCAGCTGGTTCATTATGTCGATTCTATTACACCGACACGAAGAGCAATCAACACAATGCCCAAGACTTTTCTGATATTCACAGGCACCAGCTAACCAGGCGAAAGACGAGGATGGGCATTAAATAAACGATAGAGTGCAACACATTAATAGTGCTTAGAGTCCTTTTGCGGCACGAAAGTACAGATGTGCGATCTCCTTCTTCAATGCCATTCTTCATATAGTCTTGATACATGGTGTTTACATTAGTCACAAAAACAGCTCACCATCGAAGGATCGTAGGCGCAACGTGCGATGGCGTCCAGAACATTATATCCAAAGGTGTTGTAATGAGAGGATGCACAATCCGATTGGGTGGTCTGACAAAGTCAAGATTCTTAAAGTCAAGAATGAAGCTATCTAGGTGCTGGTTGAGAGATTCAAGGACGCGGATGCCCCATTATGCTAACTGATGCACGTGCCCCCTTAACTAAATATACAAATCGTCCTTGATTGCAAAAGCCTCAGTACGAGACTGTATCAGAAATCGAATCACAGACCGCACGAAACTCCATCCCATCTCAAGCGCAAATCAGCAAATCGAAGAGTCGATAACTCTTGCTTTCATAAAAGAGCGTGCAGGCGTGTCTCTGTACGAGAATCACGGAGGGGTTGATGCTACATCCAGAAATCCGCAAAAGCTCGTGTAAAGTGGAACTGCTTTCCTCACAAATGTTTAGAAGGGCTGCTCAAGGTAAAACCCACGATATACAAGGGTCCCGTGAAATCTCAGAAAATCAAGAGGCGCTTTCCGATCTTCATCTAAAGAGCATGGGCTCGCCGCCACGAGAACTATTCGGTTTAGGTGATCGCCTGATTCTCGACGAATCCAAGGACGAGAAATCAGGATATAGATAAGGCAACCTTGCTTTTCACCCTTGTCAG